CAATTCATACAGAAAAGTAGCGATTTTAACGGATCGCTGTTTTTCTCTATGAATTGTTTATTAAGTGGGCGGGGTTTAGAGTTGAGGGGCGGAGCTTCTTCTTAACTTCTTCTTCGAAGTTTAATTTATCCATCCATCAAGTTAGACGGGTGACTACATTCAATTTCGATTTTTTCCAATTCATTTTTCACCGGTAAGTTCACCCGCTCTTATCTATGGAATTTTAGGGTAATAAAATTCTTTAAATCAATGACCATGAGGATTTTACGTTGAAATACTAATTTTCTTGACGTTTCATTCTCTCATCATTCTCATCATTCGCCATCACTCTGATAAGTAAGATGAGGTCAGTCACTATCGAGGGGAGACGCGTAATTAAGATGAGGTTAGTCACGATTGAGGTCACTTCGCACCTCGACGCGAAGTAATGTCAGTCGTGACTAACGTCCCGCACCCACAGTTCCATAGTCTCCGCTTCGGAGCACCTACAGAAGCTCCAATGGAGAAAAACCAGACCAGTTCGTGGCTCTAGACATAGGAACATTAATGGCCATAGACCATTAATTCTTCTAACCCTAGAACCGGACTCGACTAATCTATAAACATATTAGACGCAATCATTTCTTTGCTCAAAATGAAGCCGATGGGTCCCCCTCTGTGTGAACGAATGGCTCGATGATATTGTTCAGTTGCCAACAGGCCCACAATGAAATGGACTAGTAAATAAGATTATGCCATAGTTCACATCTTGCCATTTTTTCAACCTGAAAAATTGCTGGAGAATCAATTAATGATTTGACTCATAGTACGGGAAACTGCACAGGATCACTGGGTATGTTTTAAATGTGAAAACCTTGCTCTGTCGGAAACAGTTCAGATAAGGGCGTCTCCTCCACGATGCCGTCTCTCCTCTTTTAACATCACAACATCCAAATTTCGCCATCCAGAGGCGGTTTCGAGATCGCACTTATCATCTGCTTCTTATTCGAAACTGTATCAGCCTAAATGTGGGGCATAAAATCGGGCAAGATGACGTAGGGACCGGTGCTGTCGGACCTCCAGAGGATTATGATAGACCGATCCGAAGAAGTGCAGCTATGTGATGACTCCATGAATGTGGTCAACGGTAATTCGAAAAGAGAGCATTGGCTGACTACAGTAGCGCTCAAATGTTTTCGGCCAAACACTTTTATGCTTTTTCGTTCATAACTTTTTTCAAAGTGGAGCCAATTTGACTTCAACTTCAACAAATTCAACAAAATTTTGACTTGTTCAACTGAAGCATGTTTTACAATATCCCACACTATTTGATTGTAAAGCAGCAATATCCACGCAAATGAGGGGAAGGCGTTAGTTGAGGTAGTAGATTCAGTTGAAAACAAAGTTAGCCACGTCTGCAGTTATTCGCATCTCGTGTGCGTTTTTCACCTCTGCTGTGTTCGGCATTAGCGCTCGTACAATTTGGACATGGTAGAAAGGAAAGAAATCCTAGAAGGACCAGAGTCTGTACTTCCAGTTTATTTGAGTTCAAGCTTTTTGAGATATTTGGAACATGATAAGATTGCAGATATAGTAGTAAATATTCAAAATACATCAATGTTACACATATTGAAGTTTTGCATGATAGATTCAATAGAACAGAAGTTGCGACCGAAAACTAAGACTGAAGGAGCATTTGGCTGAAGAATTTTGAGCGCTACTGTATGTGGAAAGGTTTGATTAACACCGCGAATTTGTCACCTCAGAGGGACGTAATGTGTTTGAGATCCATGACGACGGTGACCGTAAAAAATCTACTCCGTCGCACATAGGTTGAGTAAAAAGTTTTGATCGGTTTTTCATCTTCACTTCAAGAAGTCTTGTTTTCATTAGAGGAGGATCTCAATTAATAATCATTAAAAGGGGATCTCGACTGGTAATATCGTCTCCATCGTTGTCCCCAACATATGTCCAACGAACCGGAAGTTTTTTGATTCCTGATACTTAAAACGGCGTTGCCAGCGATTGGAAAACCTGGAAACCGCAGTTTTGAGTTTCGAGCAATCATAAAAACTTCCATCGCGAAGGTGATGTTCCAAAGAAAGAAGCAAATGGTTATCAGACGGAGCGAGACTTGACGAATAAGGAGAATGGGGCAGCACTTCCTTTCCAAGTTCGGCAATTTTCGACGAGACAGTTTCGCAACATGCGATCGAGCGTTGTCGTGAAGAAGGCAAACATACCCCGCTGCGGGCGATTCCTTCGGATAACGTCGACTAAACTTCTTCGCTGAGAAGCGCAAACTCTGCGGTTACGGAGGAAATCTCAGCAGGTTATCCAAAGTGTAGCATTCCCCGAGAATGTCCACCTACGACACAGTCAAACGATCCTCGAATCTAGTCCACTTCTCTGCTTGTCTTAAAGGTGTTTCGTCACGAGGCACCACTGGATTGAGGTACGATGGCTCTACTGGATGCACCACAGATATCTTCAACAGCCGCCATTGGATTATGCCTTACGGTAATTCGTGATAGACGACAGCCCTCGTACAGCTCCGTACGACAGTTGAAGGTTGAAGTCACATTTGCAAAGCGCTTACAAGGAATACTTATATATCCCCCTAAAAGTACAGGTTAGGAATCGGTCTACCATAACCCATTACGAAGTCCTTCCGACAGTCCTACAAAAGAATCTAGAAAGGGATGAAGAGTCGATCAAAACATTTCACTCAACCTATATTTCNACAGCTCCGTACGACAGTTGAAGGTTGAAGTCACATTTGCAAAGCGCTTACAAGGGATACTTATATATCCCCCTAAAAGCACAGGTTAGGAATCGGTCTACCATAACCCATTACGAAGTCCTTCCGGCAGTCCTACAAAAGAATCTAGAAAGGGATGAAGAGTCGATCAAAACATTTCACTCAACCTATATTTCTCGCACGAACCAGCCGACATTGCGAGGTCTTTCTGCTAAATATTTTGGGATGAGTTTCTCCGAAAAACTGCGTCAGGATAGAGGAAAGGATAAAGGATGAGGCTTTTGGCATCAAACGATTTCGCTCTAGAATGCGCCCACCGCAGTCGACATTGAACCAGAATCGTAGGGGCGACATGAATACATATGTTAGCTATTGAGTGACTTTTATTGGGAAGTCATTGTCTAATTCAGCATTTCTATCCTCCCAGGCCTGGTCTTGTACCACTCTAGCATTACCAAAGGAACGTAAGGTGTGGTTGGTCTTGGAATGTTTTGATCCCGAATTCGCGTCAGAAAAAATCCAAAGACTCTCACTTCACTTCTCACTTCACTTCTCATTCTGACGTGAACGAAAGTTTGCGAATCTGATCGGAACCAAATTCAATGCCGTCGAAGATTTTTTAGGCAATCAGGTGACAGGAAATTGAACTAAATGTTCACGCCTTTTCACTTTCTCAATGGAAGCTCACCTTTTTCTCGAATCACAGCCGCAGAGCAGTAACTGTAGTAACTGCTTGTCCATACTGTGACCTGCATGACTTTGCTCTAACAATGTGCAGAACAGTAACTGCAGTAACTGCTTGTCCATACTGTGACCTGCATGACTTTGCTCTAACAATGTTTATATCACTTTTTTTATCGTCTAGCATTAATGAAAAGATCAGAAAACACGACGTAGGCCAAACCAATCGAGACACAGTAGTAGTCGATCGACACACAACAATGGTGGTCCCTTCCCGTCTGGCAGCACCCATACGTCAACATTCTCGATTAGAAGAAGAACTATAATCTAAAATCCCATATTCGGTCAAAAAATGTCATATAGGCCATGCTACATGTCCTGCTTAGCTACCCATAGGAGCGTTGCGTCTGACCAGAAGCGGAGTGTTGACGTATTTCAATAATAATCAAAGGGACCCAGTAGTAGACCCGTGTGCCGTTGTTATCGTATAGATTTTCATGGTTTTTTTTTAATTTACTGATGACTTATTTTCAGGTTAAAACTGGTCTCCACAGCCATCAACGGACATTGAGAAGCTTCCTCGCCTTTGTAAAGTGCTTTTATTACATATCACGTTGTGTTTTTCCTTCTTTTGATATGACAGTGCTTATGATAAATAAACCCTCCTTGTTTGACACTGAGCCAGTTTTGCTCAGTTTAAAAAACTCAAGATGATAGATGACTACTTACTATAATTGCACTTTGATTCCTGTTCGTGGAAAAATATTCAACTGGCACTGGTAATACCCCGTGTTGAAAATCGATTCCTCCGACGTCATCGATTTGTTCTTGAAACAGAATGATGAATGAATGATGAAACTAGATAATCCACTAACCACATTCAATCATTCCTTCGAGGATTCTAACAGAAGTGGTCCCATGGCACGTGCCAGAGAGACCTCAATCACAAGACTGACATGCTCTAGAACATTGTACTGTCGAGATCGAAACTAAGTTCCAGCTCCCTCCTTTACACACTATAGAAAATTGATCATAGATCATAAGAGTTCGAATTCAATGTCCAACGTTCTCTAAACTTACTTTGCCCTCGAAGGTTTATCATCATCCAATTTATAAAACACTACCGCGGCCAGTTTCTTTCTACGCATTTAGGGAATACTGCAACTACAGCCCAAGAAAATGAAATACTCGGTAAACGAGTGAAAGAATAATCATCAACTCTCATTCTGACTTTTTTAAATCATCATACCATTGCGTTTTGAAATGCTCGACCCGTTTACACAGCGAGACCGTTTCAGTCGTGACGTTTCCCATTCACCTGCCTTTCTGGGAGAGACCGATACTTCCGCTCTACGCCTTCTTCGCCCAACTTTTCAAAAATCCTTTATTTAAAAACCAAGAAAATTTTAGCCCAGCTTCAAAATACACATAGTTGTGGCTACTAGAACTGCTCAGATATTCTAGATGTTACCAAAAAACATTTGAGAGTACTGCACCTGTTGACAGTTATTTTTTTAGAAACCACCCAACACATCAAACGGTTTATACTTCCGAAACGAGACACGAAAACAGTCGTTGAGTCTGCAACCTTCTAAATAGCCTCCAGTTATAGTGATATTCATGCTATTACGGTGTGTGGGCTTTCTGATTGTCTTGACCAACTTGATGTGCAGCTCATTTCAGATGAAATACAATACCGTACTTCTGATCGTGATACTTTTGCTAAGTGTCACTCCATCAAAATCAATTCTGTGGAGCCTTTTCGGTGGTGGTGGTGAAAAGAAATGTTGCTGCCCTCCACCTATTCCTCCTGTTTCTCAATGCTGCCCAGCTCCAGCTCCTCCTCGTCCTCCTCCTCCTCCTCCTCCTTGCTGCATGTGCTGCTGCAAAAGTGGTGGCGGTGGCGGTGGTGGTCTTCTTGGTGGTCTCTTGGGACCGCTCGGAAGTATTTTTGGTGGTAAGTTTTTTCAAGAATTTCACTGAAATAATTAGCAACCTTGGTGGCCCGTCCGGTAGGTCATTCCAACCAATCCAGGTGGGATACAATTCAATAAACATAAAAATTCAGGTGGCGGTGGCGGTGGAGGTGGTTGTTGCTGCCCGCCTCCACGTCCTCCTCCTCCTCCTTGCTGCTGCGGCGGTGGTGGTGGTGGCGGCGGTGGTGGTCTTGGTGGTCTGTTGGGACCGCTCGGTGGTATTTTTGGTGGTAAGTTCTGTCCAGGATACATTTCATTGATCCTGAGAGACCGTCAAAGGAATCATACTGGCCTTGTCTGGTACACAACAAGGTTTACCATATTAGCTGAGGTTTAGTAATGACTAGGGAGTCTAGGAACTATGGTGATGACCCTGTCGTTGATATCTGTAGTCGTTTTAAAATAAGGACTTATCTATGTTGTCTCAGTTCACAATTTCATAGCCATAGGTTGAGAACACTCTCAGAAACTCCATTGGAAAGAAACCAGATCAGTCTATAGCCATAAACCATTAATGCTTTTAACCGCAGAGCCGGCCTCTGCATTTCGAAGAACATGCCAGACGCTATCACTCTTTGCTCAAAATAATATTAATAGGTCTAGTTTTGAGTCACCAAATGGTTGTGACCATGCTGATTTAGTTGCTCTGTCATAGCAGCAGTAACCAGCGATTTAAGGGCTTGTAAATAAAATTATGTCGTGGCTCAAATCTCGAGATTTTCACTTCTAACCTTGAAGTTTGACCCAGACCTAGATTAAATTTGTGAGTAAATTCATTGGAGTGGAATGTGCGCTGGAACAATGGGTGTGTTTGAAATGTAAAAACCTTGCTCTGTTAGAACCAGTTCGGAACAGGGCGTATTCTCCAATATGTCGCCTCTGCTCTTTTGACATCACAGAATAGCAAATTTCCTGGTACTGAGGCGGCTTGGGAATTGGCCTAATATCTGCTTTTCAGTCAGATTCGCAACCCTAAATGTAGGGGTAAACAATCTGACGTAGCGTCCGGCCCTGTTAGACTTCCAGACGGAGATTGTGGCAAAAGGCGCCCTCCATACACGCATGGTCACGAGTTTGTATCAAGAATCGATATCCGCCTAAGCCAGCCAAGCCTTCCATCCCGTCGAGGTCGGTTAATTTGTACCAGGCTTGTTTGGGAGAGTAAAAGCATTGGCTTGTACATCGACTGGCCATCGCAAGTCATTTATAGGCCACATTCAGTACGCCGGAGTGGTGGTAGTAATGCGTATGGGACTTATATAATGGCTTTTAGCGGAATGTCTATGTACGTTCCAGTGCTTTTATCCTCCCAGACCTGGTCTCGTACCATTCCAGCATCCTCTTAGGAATTGAAGGTTCGGTTGACCTTGAAATGTATTTATTGATCCCGGTTTCGCGTCAGAAAAAGTCTAAAGACGTCACATCTCATTCTGACGCAAAGGAAATATTGCGAGCAAGTTCTGAACTGAAATCAGAGCTGTGGAAAGTTTTTTTAGGCAATCAGGTAACAGGGAATCGAAATGATAATTCGATGCCTTCCTACTGGCTCAGTGGGAACTCGCATCGACCTCCATTCACATTTGAAGTTACTTTTCCAGAAAAAGCTTGTCCATATTGTGACCTGCATGGCTTTGCTCTCACAATGTTTATCTCCCTTTTTCATGGGCTGGCATTAATGGACCGCGCAAGAGGTTCGGAAGAACGGTTCAGGCGGAATCGATCGAGACACAAATTGTACAGTGATAGTAGAGCTGCCTTCCTTTCACTAGATCATTTCTAACCATAAGGAGCAACGTTGGGAAGAGTACTCTAGGACAAAGCTACCCATAATTGGTGTCATCAACGTCTTTACAATGTTGGTCACTTCTGGTAGCACCTGGTATACCTCAATCTCACAAGGTTGGCGATATATGGAGAAAACTTCAGTCTAAGACGAGACTCGAATGCGTACCACAAGTACGGGTTCAGATCCGGTCAGATACTGAAGTTTTGTCCATATATCGCCAACCTTGTGGGACTTTCGCAACGAGAACTGCGGCGATAAAACAGCATTTGACAAAACATCAAGCCATATACCTCAACCTCTTTGAATGATAGGGAAAATGAAAATGTAGCAGATTTATGCGATAGGAATACTGCTCTACTGAGTGATGCGAATCGATTCGCCTCATAGCCGGGTACGGAATGTCACCTATATGAGGCCAAAACTGAAGTAAGTTGTTCATGGAGTTGGCATATGGCGCTGTTGGGTAGTACCGCTTACTTACCCATGGGAGCAATGAGCAGCAGCAAAGTAGTGAACACATTTCAATAAAGATCAAATTGAGCCTGAGAGAATGAGAGATCCGTGCCCCGTTTTAATCTATGCGTTTTCGAGGTCCTTTCTTTAATTACTGACAATTCATTTTCAGGCTAGAAGTAGTCTCCATTGCCATCAACGGACATTGAGAAGCTTTTTCGCCTTTGTAAAGTGCTTTTATAACATATCACGTCGTGTTTTTCTTTCTTTGTCAGTGGTTATAATAAATGAACACTTCTTGATAGGTACTGAGTCAATATTGTTCATTCTGAAGACTTGAAGCAATACATGAATACTTACTATGAATGCACTGTTATTACCAATCGTGAAAAAAAGTTCAATTGACATTGATACAAACCCCTATTGACGGTCGTTTCTTCAGACATCATCGATTTGCTCTTGAAACAGAATGATGGCGAGGGCGGAAGAGAAGAGGTTTGAGGTATTCAGCAACCGGTGGTAGCGACGATGCCGACCACTTGAGGCTAAGGCCATCCATAGCGTCCAGCCCGCATTCGTCATAGGTAGCCTGCCTGCTGAAATGCTGCTTTTCCTCGTCGTCACTTCAATGGCTTCGGCTTATGCGCAACTATATCCGACACTCATACAACCACGACCGATCTATCTACCGTCACACTTGCAGCCAAATTTGCAGGTACAGTCGCCTGAGGTGGTAAGTGCCCAACCAATTGAACCAGCAGTTGCTACTCGATAGCAATTACCAATGGAACCTAATGCTATTACTAATGTGTGGTCCCCTGTTTCACTGCTTAATGAAAGACTGATAAACTGCACATCGTCGGAGCTTCATCGATCTACCGTAATCGTGGTGTAGCTCCGACTACGGTATAATAGTTTAGTAGAGTTGATTGTTGACGATTACTCTCCAACACGCGGCTTGATGCTCCTATCCTCATCTCATCTCTTCCTGTAGCAATCTGTGAAAAATGCGTACAAATGTTCAAATGATCAAGCACTGTCTCGAAAGAGATACGAAGAGGCTTTTGATTTTGATTGGGCTAATTCTGTGCAGTCCTTTTTTAGCTCACCATTTCGGGAAGGCAATTGGGCACGCCTAAAAACCAGATTCGTGGGTATACATTCGTTTTTTTTCCTAGAATGGTGGTACGGTAGCTCTCCGCTCGAAAAGGGAATCAGTCGGTGATCGGAACGGTGGAGGACGGGTGACAAGCCTACTTCGAAATAAAAGGGCCATCCCATTCTTTAGCACAACTCTGACTCAGAAGTTTTTCTCTCGACCTGCCATTCGTGAGTGAAACCTACTTGCTGACAGTGAGGATTTTCGGTAAGATCTTTGCTTCCACACTGAGTCTGCCTGTTAGGTTTGCTAAAAGGTGTTGACAGACTTTTTCACTGTACAAAATTTTATGAGAAGAAATATCCCCTGTGAAAGGTCCCTGAAATGGGAACTGAATGTCGGAATAATTGCCGAAGTAAACAAATTCCACTAATACGAGAGCGTTGAAGCTTTATTCACATAGATATTTGTTCGCTGAGCCCGGAGAATATTATGTGCTCAGATGCGGATTAACGAACGTCCGCACAGTAACCGGGGTCAGCGTCTTAGGTCCCACTTTTTGATCCGACTTCTACAGTAATTCTCGTTCTTGACAGTGCAATGCGCGATTTGAAAGAGATATTACACTGACTAGACAGCAACTCCTTCACAATGGATTGGTGCAGTCCGTGCTGCACAGCGTTTCCAAGTTCTAACGATTGGTTGTGAAGATTAGGCACCAAAGACCACTGCCGTGAACCAGAAAGAGTGGTTCTTATCTACTGTATTCAGCAATGAAAGATGGGTGAACTGCGGGTTCTTGTGCAGTGAAGGAGGAAAACGAAAAGCATGTCCTTGTTGCCAATTATGTGAACTAGTAACATTATGCTTCTAATCAGATCCTTGAGGTCGGATAAGATGTGCTGCTTCAGAATGCTACGCGAACTTCTCAAAAATCCAATGTAACGTGGATCATGCAGATATGTGTTTGTCATTGAATGGTCGACTGGCTCGGAAAGTCTCATTTCGTTGTCCCCTATGAATTTTTGCTTGGCTCTGGACAGGCGTATTATGCATTTTTGCTATTACAGTGTTCGAGTTGCTCGTATAAATGCCGTCCAGGAAGTGGAACTTCCCAGGCGCTTATAGCAAACGTCCTAAATATCCTAAACCTGTTCCTTGAAACGGAAATTCACCTTTAGCAAGCCGCCCTATCCGAATCTACTTCGCCTGACCCGAGATTCTATTCAGAAAAAGCCCGCGTCGAAGACTGCCATCATGACAGAAAATTAATGGTTTGTTACCATAATTGCCTTTCAAAGAACGAAAGTGAATAAATCGCTCATCGGTCATTGTTGCTTACTTGAAAAATTAAGAATGTTCTTCATGCATTTCTTATTATGTAGGAAACCAGTCCTTTTCTGGAACTTCGAGAAATTCCCATCCATTAAGAGTTCCACAGACATGGAATAGGTGTTTCTTTGCAATGATTAATCGACTTTGCTTCTCAATCAAAGCCGTAAACTTTTTATTTAGCTTTTTAATGGGAGGAAATGAAGGACTGGCAGAATCAAAGCGTTCCCGTTTTACGGGAGTTACTAAATTAGTGAAACTTATGGTTCTGCCATGGAGCATCATTTTTACTCGGGCTGCCAATGCTCTCTTAATACACCTTTTTTAGACGAGACCAGTAGTTCCAACATCAGCTAGATGACCACATAATAAAGCACTATGAATGCTGACATTTAAACAAATTATTAAATTAAGGGGGGGGGGATCAATCAAAGAAGTAGTTCAACTTCCTCTTCCCATGTGCCCTAGACGGAAGTTAAACTAGACAAAAATCTCCCTCCGTGCTTATCAGTAGGGTAAGGGAGAACAAATGAATAAACTACCCTATAAATAATAAGTTAAAATTGAAAGAATGGATAAGGATTCTAAAAGAGGTTGTAGCACGGAAATTACAAGACTGTATTCTGTGTACTTTTAGGGTACTTCAAGTTTTGTGATATTTGTGTATTTCACTGTTTGCATTGTTGCTAAGCGTATGACATATTATTTTATTGAACTCTATTCAAATGACTAGTAAAAAGGGAGGTTAATCATATGTATATATAGAAAAAGTTAATACAACAAAAAACTTTTTAGTGCAGGATGAAGAGCCATTTGACTACCGGAAAACATTAAGAAGAGACCGAACCTACAAAAGTAGGAAGGGCATGTTATCTGAGTAGTTAAACGTAACTTGACTAGGAATTCAAGTAATTGCATACTAATATTAACACAGTATGTGTCTAATATTCTAATAAGCGTTTTACATTTTAAGCCGTATTTATATAGTATAAATTTGTTTTTGGCTAAGATCATTTTTATTTGTACATATCTCTATTTGTATCTAAGTTCTAGCAATTCTTAAAATTTCTGAGTGTATGGTACTAAGATTAATACTACTGAAAATGTTAGTATTATAGTGTAATGTGGGAAACTCTAACTTTTGTTTTTTTCGAATACATATATATATATATATGTGTTAACTCAGGACATATTAATTTCAGTTGGCTGGAACCGTTCCTGTCTACGAGCCAGTCTACCCTCCACAACAAACTATCATTGCCAGCTCTTCTGTTCCCGTATCTCCTGTATCAACAATCGCTACTCCGCCTGTTGTGATGCGAGCAGTGCCGATGGCAGCACCGTATGGACCTCCCGTAGGACCACAGTTCGTACAAGCGGCAGCTCAGCAAGATTATTCTTATGCATATGGTTATGCACCACAGCAAAAACCTGATGGTCCATTGAAGAGGTTCCTTCGAGGAGCGGCTGACGGATTCATGTTAGGTACTATGGGTTGGTTGGGATAACTGAGGGATAGGAAGTGTATTATACGTACTGTTTCGATCGTGATGAACCCATCAGTTGTTTAGGTAGATAAAATCTGGTCTTGTCATGAGAATGTTTCAATGGCAACCACTGAGAAACACTCCCGAAATACCTACCGATTGCCCGATAATCCCATAAAATGCCTAACTTCCTCCCTGTATCCAAGAGTTCGTCTTTTTGGCCTCGGAGTTTTTCTCCATTTCTCTCTTCTTTTTATTGTGCTCATGTTCAGCACTGTCAGAGTTCAGTTCTAATTACAATTTGTAGCGTTTTGCACATTTTCAACGCATTAACTAAACTGTCGATTTTGAATGTCCAGTTATCGAATTGTCCGCGAGCTTTTACTCTTCTGGTTTTTGTCAGCACTTCTTTGGAACGGGTTTCCATTGGTCCTCGCCTGAGAAACAGCTTCATTCCTGTCTTTTTTCATTTCCCATTTTTGAGAAAGCATGGTTTCCCACAGACGCTTTCGTGGATGACTCCACCTTAGAACAATTTTCTGTGTGAATTTTCTGTCTGTGTTTTCTTTCCAACCCTCCGTTTTCTGAGCCTTGACCTCGAATTGACGTAACGTCGTACTCAAGTGCTCTTGAATTTTGTGACAGGAATTGAGGTTAATGTTTCTATTCCCCATGTTTTTCTAGTGGCGTATCCAGAATAAATGCATGCGAAGAATTTTTAAAATGTAGCCACTAGCATATTAATTTTGCTACCCTCGTTCGAATGGCACATTTTAATGAAACTTCCAAGATTTGTTAAATCTTTACATCAAGGAAATCATCATCAAGGTAATAGATCATGTGTGTGCTGAGATTTATCTAGAAGGAGTCGGAAAATCAAACCATCACGATGCTATCCCGATTTTGGACACTCTTCCAAACGCCTGGTATACGTGTACCTGTGCATACCCTGAAGTCGTCCACACAGATTCTCATTGCTTTAGTTTCCGAGGCTGCATCGATTTATTTATAAATACGTTCCTTCAATACTGCAATTTTGCAACGATCTCTTCGATTCATTCCCATGAAAGATGTTGGAATTATTATGATAGTGGAAATTATGTCTAAATACTAATCAAAGCTTTTTCATGTACGAGAGTTGTTATGTAGAGTCAAATGTGTCTGAAAGTAGGGAGAGGCGGAGGCAGAACTTTCGACGCTACTTGCCTACAGAGATGAGATTTCGGGAGTTGAAGTGAGTCGCAAACATGAGGGATCTAACGACCTTGAATCCCTATTCAGAAAACCTGCTACAAGGAACGATCTAGAGTATAAGTAGGTTGTTGAGGGTCTCCATAAAGGCACGTGTTCGTTAATGGCAAGTGTTCCCTGAAATTTCTCTACCCTTGAACTTTTGACTGATTGCATCAATTGCGGGCTTTCTCACGACATACAAATATCTCTGCCACTAGAGTTTCCTTATTTCATATGGGGTAGATTCACCATGTACAAAAATTCAAAGACTTCATTGCCATTTACAATTGTGATTAATTCGCTCGCTTTTCAGAAGTTTCCGAGTGAAAGATAGCCAAAGGTATCAGATGTTAGTGGTCCACGGTGGTGAAAACGATGGAATGCGTCCTACTCTTGCTGGTACATTGTCAGTACACGGGCCAAAAGAATGTTCAGAAAATTAAACAGTCACGTGGGGGACCACATGTCAAAATGAACGCGGAGAGAGTTGCCCTTTCAATCTACTGTAAGTTCATGAGTTCATAAAGTACAAGATTTTCCTTTACGCTCAAACGCACTAACATGCTAGTATGTTCTCAGAGCCTTCTTTATTTTGTTCTGGAGGGCAATAAACTCGAATGTTTGCCAAGCGACCTCTTATTTCGGATGTATTAGAGGGATTGTATACAGTCGAAGTCAGAAGTGGCTTCACAAAAAGGAAACCGAATTTTCATGATAAAATGCATGGTAGAATGTGAAAGTATTTAGCGCAAAACAGTTTGAGCTGAATCTGTCTATCAATACAATCAATTTCAACGAGAGTCAAGTGCATTTGATGAGTGCTCAACAGAAGAGCTAATTCATTTGTTCCGCTCGGAGAAAAATGAAGGAAAAGGAGAAGTGGAGGTGAACGCCACTGTGAGTTCAGTAAAAAACAGGTCTTCATGCTCGCGAGCCAAGTACTGCTCGAATACTATACTACTTGGTAATAACGTTCTTTTATAATCGCTACATGCAGTGTCTCTATTTGGGGTTCTTTTCACCTAATATTTATTGAAATAAAAATACGTTCATGGGTTACTGTAGACCCATCCTCTACTCAATTGAGCAGAAATGAAGGAGGAATTGATGTTTCCGGAGCACGACTATATCATCAGAAAATCCCTGACACACATATTTAGCAGTACTGCATGATTTTGTGCAAGCAAAGCAGCGATTCTGTGATTTCAAACCTGAGAAACGGAAGCAGGAAACGGAAAAATGGAATTTAGTTTGTCTTCCCATCAATAGAAAGTAGTAGGCTCAACAGTATTCATAATATTCAGTTTATAATAATAGTGTATAATCACGTTCTAAGCTCAAATTTTTCTGTGTCGTCGACATAGAGTTTTGAACATTTTCATTAGCACTGGTTTAGTCACGGCTGCTGGCACTCCGATGAGCAGCCAGAAATTCCTATTCCGGATTCTTAATTATTTGATTTATATTTGCATTTGTTCTTTACACAGGTACTCCTGAGTGGTGTATAGACTGAGGGAAAAACAAACACAACAAATATAAGCTATGGACTCATGCAACAAGGATCCGATATCTAACTCGAGAAGAAAGAACTTCAGAACACCCTCGAAGCTATGATGTAAGATACTTGCCTAGAGCAGTCTTAGAAGTACTGATTTTGCCGGTGACTACTCCCATTCGATCAGCCTATCAAACTCCTCCGTAGTCTTCTTCACAAAGAACCAACACAGCCTAACACCTCGCGAATCACGGTCTTGCGAGAGTTACCTGTTGTAATCGATTACCCATCTGAAAAATACTGCTAGGCTCAAGAAGCAATTTGTGGACAGTACTCATCGAGAATGAGATCACTCCGAATTAGGAGCCCTAAGTCTCTGATTTTGTTAGCTATGCTCAGATTCACTTCATCAAGTGAATACTCCGAAGTAATCAATTCCGACTTTACCCAGGCGAATAACCTTGGTCTTCTCTCTACATAAAAGCAACACCAACAACTTCGCCCCCTTACTAACGTCATGAACGGCTTCCAATACCTTTTCTGAATTAGACGAGATCGGGTGATATAATTTGAAATCAAAAGCAAAAGCTGCACGTTCAACGCCTCTAGCAGTGAGCAGTTTCTGCAGTTCGTAGGTGTATGTATGTAGTAAAAAGAATGGGAGGCAAGACACCGCCTGAGGTACCCCACTGCGCACCAGTCTGGTTCTGAAAATACATTGCTGACACGAACCTGATAGGATCCATCAGTAAGGAATGACTTAATCCACTCCCAATCTGAGGATGAATACCCACAGGTAGGAGTTTGGCTACCAGCTTTTCCTAGGTACCCTGCCAGAGGCCTCAGCAAACTCAAGGTATATCACAACAATACCCAGATCTCTATCAAGGTATGAAGTCTAGTCATCAAGTGCTTGCGCATAGCCTCAATGTAACTTGCCTTTCTGAAAGCCATGCCGATGCTCAGACATGATGCTGTATTTATAAACGATTTAAAATCGCCTTTTTCAAAACTTTTTAAAACAGTTTGGCAAAAATCGAGATTACACTCACTGGTTGATAATTGGAAGTGCGAGGAAGAGGAGCTTTTTCAAGAACCGGCGTAACAAATGGAAGAGTTCACCTTTTGGGCACCTCAGTTTTCATTAGGATCAATTTGAAGATATACTTCACTGGTCCTGCAATTATAGAAGCCAACTGTTCTATAACTTCAAGTGGAATATGATCGAGGGTATCCTAGTGAGATTTCGGCCACTTACATGGCAGATCGTACACCTTTTCCTGAAACCAGACTGAATGACCATAACCGGAAATACGGACGTACCCTGGAATAGCGAGATACTGTCATGTTCCAATTAATCACCATTTTTTTATAAGCTTCCTCAGAAACATTGACCAAAAACTCGGCTTTTTCCTTTTCGTCACAAACTACTCTACCGCAACTAGAGAGAAGAGACCAAATCCTCTACTCCCCTCCAGCCTAAGGTTAAGCCTCTTCATTTGGATTTCGCTCCCATTCTTCCTCAGAAAGAGATGGCCTTATAAAAACCCTCCCTGGGGGAGGGAGGAGTATTTTAGCTGCGGTGCTCGCCTAAGAACAAGCTTTATCGGCAGTGACATTGGTAGGACTTGCACTCCCCATTCGATTTCTCGAGAATGGGACACAATTGATTACGAGGTAATCAAAAAGCTGATGAATGCAATGACGATCATGAGCAACTCTATCATGACTCTTCTGACTACGATTCTCAGGTACGCCTGCAATCACTAAGGATCTGGTCCGCTCCACTTCTTCAGAAGACGATTGATCGGTTACATCAGAAGGCCTGACCGAAGACAAGTTGTCCTTACACGATACAGAACTGGAATGCACACATGAACGAAAGCTATCAAGAGATTACGGAAGACCATATTCTCATCTTCCTACGCTTTATTTACCTTTGCCACGGGGCCGAGTTCCCTTTGATTTTCCAACAGCACAGTGAGCAGCGTGCAACGGAATAGACTCATCCTTAGTGAGCTCCCCCGCCGTCAATATTGGTGAGCTCCCCCACCGCCAGTACGAAGTCAGGCGATTATGCTGCACCAAATCAAGCGCCTCCTTTCCTTGACTCCTTCCTGAAGCTTAACAGGAAAGACGGGTGTTTCTTCAATCTTTCCAACTATGTACACAAACAATAGCAAACCTGAGGCAAAACAAAAAAGAAACCAACACAGTGATCCGGCAAGAACACAGAAAAGTCAATATTCAATAACAGCACTTGTAGCGGTGGCACCTACTTCCAATTTCGAAC